ACTGTGTGCTGGACTGTAGCGGACTGGCATCCGAATGGGCGATCTGAAGATGTTTGTGAAGGTGCAATGGTGGGATTTTGATGGACTTTGGTTCCTTTTTGATCGGATTTACTGAAGAGAGTAGTTTTAGTAAAAGGGTTGAGAGGGTTAAGAGAAGAGGCAGCAGCACTTTAGTTATGCTTTTGAGATAGAACATGGTGCTTCAGTCTTCAGTCTTGGGAGAAGGAGAGAGCCAGGAGCAGAAAGATAGGAAGTAGAGAAACAAAGAGGAGGAGAAATGGAATGATTGGCTAGACTCTTTTAACTGTAGTGTCTGGATTAATATTGTTGGGGAATTAATTAATGGGGTAAGTTTCCGTGGAACATCACCGATTAAAAACAATCACACAGTCAAAGGAAGTGTCATTTCCCTTCCTACTTATTTTTCATAAAAATTATTCTATTTTTATTATTTTATAAAAATATTATCTTTTATTGATATTTAGGGCAAAAAATTGCCCTTATCTATCAAAAACCTTTCATTGATTTCCTTAGCTGTCATTGTAGCCGCCTCCCCATGTTGGATTTTAGTCTTTTAAGGCATTGTTCGCAAGGAGTTGGGATCTCCTTAGCTGTCATACATGGTTATGAGGTTTGTGGAGATATGTACAAATCATGTTGGAACGTGTTGATACATTTTTTTTTGTTGGGATATTGGAAGGAGATCCCCACTCATTGCCAAGAGGGAGGACCTGAGGAAGTTTTACAAATTGACTACTTTATTGCAATATCTCCATTAAAGTCGCCGAAGAAGATTTGGGCGGCAAAAAATTCATATACAGCTTACTAGGGCTTTTGGAAGCTCCATGTCATCACTCCACCTTCATGACCACATTGAAATCGACCTCTCAAATCTTGACATTTTTTTTAATGTGAAAAGGTATCAAAGAAGTGGCTTCTTCTTCATATAGATCAAGGATGTGGCCAGCTAACTTGGCCATTTTGGCTGATTATGGGTTTCTTAGTCTTGGTTATAAGCTTTCACTGTCTGGTTCATGCCAGCTCGCTTTACACGTCATCTTGCCTTGCAAGCATGGACAAAAAATATCACTATAATACACCCTGTATCATATAGGCGGTGTTTGGGATCAATGTTGTTTCTTGATAGGTGTGTTTTCTCAGATTTTCTATTTGATACCATTGCTGCTATTGTTGTCACATAGGTGTTTTCCAATGCCACATCAGTAAAATGGACATTTTATCAAACTACACCTTTCTCGGTTTCCAAAGTGTGGCCTGAGAAATCGTTTTTCAGAAAAATGGCCAACCAAACAATAGACATTTTTTGAGAAAATGGCATTGATCCCAAACACCTACATAGTATCCATATCCAGAACGTCTGATTCACTTCTATACATTGAAGCAAAGGGTTTTTGAACATTTGAGATGATGGAGCTTACCTTTCTTATTCATAAGCGTTCCATTTCTACTGATGTGTCATGCATGCCACATCAGCAGTTAAACGGAATCAGTAAAAGAATGGCATTTGGCAGCCCTGTTTCTCAAAATGACTTTTTTACAATGATTAGCTTTGAGATTTGGGAAAGAAGGGGTTTCTTGAAATGTAAAATTTTCATTTCTTGAATTGCCTTGGTGATCCTTAATCGTCTTACACAGTTGTCATTATAAATATATTATAACATTAAGCTAAATCACTTTAAACACCCAATCAGTCTGCATTTTTTTTTTTGTGTACGTGTTTCTAAAAAAAACATATAAAACGAATCGCTTATGAATTGGGGCTCACTTTGTAAAATGGAACGCTTGTAAAACACTCTAATGCCAAGCATCACCTTAGGCGATGTGAAAAATCATCAGCTAATAACCGCTCAATCAATATGCACCCATACCCAAGGTGTTCGTATCACAATTCACAGGTATCAAATACTTTGATCCTTTATTGCAACTACACAATTCAACTCTTTAATAAAAAAAGGGTAAATTACAATGACCCCCTTTGTACTATGGGGTCAAGAACAAAGTCTCCCCTGCACTTTTTTTTGGGGACAAAGACCCCCCTTATACCTCAGTCTAGGCAGTTTCAATCAGGAGGAAAACATCAAGGCCATAATCATGATATGTGAAGTAAAACTTAAAAAGAAGGAAAACAATAGGTTAAATAGGTTTTAAGAGAAAAAGGGTAAGAAAAAGAAAATAGAAAAAGTTTAGTAGAGTATTTTGATAATTTATCATTTTCCGTCATTTGACTTAATGGCTAAGGGGGTCTTTGTCTAATGGCTAAAGTTCAAGGGACCTTTGTTGCAAAAAAAAAGTACAGGGGGACTTTGTCACTGACCCCATAGTAGAAGGGGGTTTTGTAATTTACCAAAAAAAAACTTATCTCATACATTGCTATATAACTACAAATCCTCCTTCAAATAGCCCACAAATTAAAAGGTGGGTTATGGGCTCGATCAGTGAACATGTGGGCTGCCGTCTACCCGATGGACAGTTTGGGTCGGCCACAAGATCAATCATGATGGTGAAAATAGGTTTGTGAATTGTGATGGGCCATTTTGGGCCAAAACCAACTTGCCAGATTTTATATTCCATAGACGACTCGACGAGAAAACTGGACTACGCCTACATCCATGCTTAGCCCCGCCCCTTTTTGGTTGCTAGGCACCTGCTGGGTCAGGTGGGCCAGGCCGCCCGTTGCAGGCTTGCAGCTTCTCATTTTCCTTCTTGAAGCTCAGTGCCCAAGGAATCTGCACCGTACCAATTGTTCAGTTCACTTTTGCTACGACAACGTGGTAGAATTGGGCTAAAACCAAGAATCATGGCCGTAGATGTAAGGTGGGGCCATTGCAATACATCAAATTATCAAAGGGTTTGATTATCTTGTTTTAGCCCTGCACGAATGTAGTAGCAAAAGTGGTTTGCCAATTCATTCAGAGTTCACGTTTGCTACGACAGTAAGTTCAGGGCTAAAAAAAAAAGAAAAGAAAGTCTTTGATTTATTATTGTGGCCCCACTAAAATGTCAGCCTTCATTTAATTCAAGGTGACGCGACATCTATAAATCAAAAGCTTTGATTTTAGGGATTTTATTGTTTCGGGCTTTCAGCGCATCGCTATCACAATGTGGTTCCATTCTTTCAGGGAGACCCATTCAATCAGCCCAGCACTAAGGAATTGCTTTGTCCTAAAAGCAGTAAGTCGTTCAGTTCAGCAGCTATCAGATGGCCCCTTACGGATGGAGAACCCCAGTCCGGGAAGAAAGGGTGAATCAGAATTGGGTGTTGATGTCTGACTCAAGGAATTGTTTTAACTTTGAAGGCAATAACTCGTTCAGTTCATGAACTTCAGCCATTATCAAACAGTCCAAAACTTTACAGAAGGAAAAACCTCCCACTCTGCCAAGAAAAGGTCCTCCATCATTTACAAGGTCAGAATTGGGTATTGATGTCCCTCAAGGAATTGCTTTTGTCTTGAAAGCAAGAAGCCGTTCAATTCAGAAACTTCAGCCGTTGTCAAACGGCCCATCAGATATGGAGAAACCCAGTCTGACAAGAAAGGGTCCTCTCTCATTAATTACCAAGTGAGAATTGGGTGGGTTGTTGTCCATGGAACACCACTTGGGAGAACATTCAGAAACCATAGATTCAAAAATCATTTGCTCATGAACGCAAAATTCTGCCAGCTTATAGAAAGATAAAATAACAACCCAAGAAAAATAAAAAGGAAACGATGTTGATATTAGTTCCTCGCATCTCATTACAGTTCAGGCTTTTATACAACAGTTGAAGTAGCTGAGAAAGCTCCTCCTTGTCTGTCCAAAACACAAAACAAGAAGCGCATTTGTTCATACCCCGCCAAAAAGATCAAACAAAGAAACAGACAAGGAGGAAAGATAACAAACACAATTTCAACCGAACAAAAAAAGAAAATTTTAAAGAGAGAAACGAAATTCTATGGGCCAAGTCACCCTTCTGACCAGTCTACCAATCAACCTATCTATATCGACAAACTTATCAATTCAAAGACCGAGTAAGAGTAAGCGCTTGGGAATCCTCCTTCCATGAATTGTTTTTCAGTACATAACAAATTCTGTTTTGAACTATAAATTAATTTATATCTGTGTCCCCTATTTGCCAAATTGCCTGAATCTGAAAACCCATAAGGTTGAAAAGGCACGTAAACCCTTTAATTTAATATCTGGTTGAATGGGTTTTCAACATAAAAACAATTTGGGTCAGGCGAGAGAGTTGAACCCAAACTAAAAGTGAGCATGGCGTAATCATCAAACTTGTTGAAAAGTTGTGAACAGTGTCACGCTCTCCAGTTCACAAAACTGGAGCCCCCACCACTACTTTATTCATATTAAAGCTTTTGAATTGGTCTCCAATCTCAATACTGGTCCATGATTTCATGATCTGTAATCATAAACCTCAGCAACCCATCTCCCAAAATTTCTCAGATCTCTAGAGAGAGAGAGAGAGAGAGAGAGTTGAATCCAACTATCAACTCCCCACACATCCTCAGCACAGTAGACATTCACGGGCCGGGGGTGGATTGCTAATTTGCAATCTAAGTTGTCTCGTTCAGTCTCCCACAACCACAAGCTAATCCTCCTGTTGCCATACGGCTTGTGCAGTTGTGAACATCATCTATACCACCACTCAAGGAGGCAAAACAAAATAATTTCAACCAAGGCCAGAGCCCACTCTCTTGGAGCCATCAGAGGGTCCCCACGCTAGATTCTAATCCAGCAGCCACCGCAGAAGATGGAGACCTCACATTTCATCTGCATATCCACTTGTATATATGTACAGTGTACTAACTACGTACACATGTACCCACAGAGGATGGGACATGGGCCACATGGCAGATGAGTCAGAGGGATTTGTCGCGTGAGGGCATTGGGTTGGGCTTGGGTCCCGGCCCCGGTCCCCAGTTCATTAAATTCTACAACCAAATGACCAATTACAAAAGAAACTCTTTAGTCTCAAACTCCCCCAACCCCAAGTGCAGAAAATGGAAATGAAACTGTTGCTAAATGCTAGCTAGCAAATTCATGGAGGATTGGCAGCTAAAGTAGACTTACAGTCGGAGAGTGGTTGTGGTTGTGGTTGTGGGGATGGCGATGGTCACTGTTATTGTTGGACTGATTATCGGGGATGAGCTCGTTTTCGTTGCCGATACTGGCCCTCGAGATGTCACGCTTGTTCTGCTTCCTCATCTCTCTTATCTTGGAGAAATCCAACGAATAATCTGGGAGATGTCCCTTCTGATCCCAATCCCCAAACTGTGGCACAGACAGCCATCCGGCGTTCTTCTGCATTATGGGTAGCTCAAATTTTAGTTTCACAAAACAAATCAAAGCTTCCATTAATAATTTCTACCAAATAAAGGGAGGAATTGTCAATAACAGTGACAGTTCACAGGTGTGTGTTATTATTGTTGGTTGCTGTAACTTTTTCCTCCACCTCGATTAATGGAGATGAGTGTTTCCTTCAGCCCCACGTTGAGAAATACCTCAGAAGATCCAGTTTTGCCTGAATATTGATTCAGGAAGGATCAAGAAAACAATTATAACCTCTAAAGGCACGATCTCTGGCTCTGGCCGATCCTCACGCTTAAAGATGGAACTTTTCTTTTTAATCTCACTTCAATCCTTTCGTCAGGGAGAGAACACAGGAAATCCATACCCACAGCCATGAAAGTTTTCCCGAAAGAAAACCATCAACAATTTAAGAAAAAAAATAAAATTTGCATTGAAAATAATAAATAAACAAATACGAAGAAGTAACGCGATGTCACTATATGTCTTATTCTTCTTAACAGCCATTCAAAATAGAAGTTTTTTTTTGGTTTATTTCATCTTTAAGACCTTAAGACCATTAAAGCTCGGAAAAAACAGTAAAAAACAAAACAGAAATAAGAGCAGGATGAACCCAATAATAGAAAGAAACGAGAGAGAGAGAGAGAGAGATGATTACCTCCTTACGGTCCTCCATGGAGTTAGATCTACAATCTGTAGAACAGAAGGAAAAAAGGGCCTAACAGGAAGAAAAGCTGAGAAAGAAGCAGCAGCAGAAGCCGTGAACTGAAACGTCTGGTCTGGTCACACCTAATCAGTAATCACAGGCTCACAGCACAAACAGGTTAACAGGCGCTCATCCTGAAAGCTGCAACTTTATCATTTGTATATACACGTTAAAAAGGGAACATAAAATAACGAATTTACCCCTGGCACGACCTCCATCTGCTCCGCTTTTCGAGGTTGCTTAATGCTTAATTGCGTCCCTCGTCAGGGTCGAAAAAGTCACGCCATTGAATTTGAAAGACCACGCTACACAACACAACACAACACATTACACACCTTAATGCCTCAAAGGCTCAAACCACTACTCCCTTAGTCCTTACACAAACACCGTCCACAGTCGCCTCTGTCTTTATCCACTTTGTGGTAAATTCGTAAATCACGAGGAAAATAATGCCTAATTAATAAGCCATTTAGAAACTTTTTTGACCGGAAGTCCGGAAGGGCTGTCCGCCTGTCCCCTTCTTGGGTCGGATCGGATAGGTAGAACCAAATTTTGATTCTTTTATATTCGGATTCGGGTATTATTCGAATTGCAATGGGATATTAAATAATATTAATAAATTAAATAAAAATATTATATATTATTTAACATGAAGTAAAAATGACTCTCATATTATATGTAGAGCTTTGATCAATCAAAACTCACCTTGAATTTTGATAAACACCACCTCATTGCTTACCATATTACTAATAAATATAATATAAATCTTATGTGTATATATAAATATATGTATTTAAATCTAATGAGGCTGTATTGGATTGAGTAGATGGATGAATCAAATCCCAATCATCTTTAATCAAATTGAATACAAATTCGAATTTGGATAAATGGACTATGTAGTTGTTTTTCTTTTACTGTGCTTTTAATGGCACTTTTAAGAAAAATAATGACTTGGTGACAAGGGAAGAATTACATTTAGGCTATGTTTGATTTGAAGGAAAAAGTAGCGAATTGTAGGGAAATGAAGAAAAAAATAGGAAAAAAATAGAAAAAAAAAAGGCTATGTTTCCCTACATTTCCCTTCCTTTCCATATTTTTTCCTTCAAATCAAACACAGCCTTAATGATAGAATTGCCATTTGAGATCCACTGCTCCTACAGGTTTGCCCATAGAGTTGCAAATGGATCATATTTAAATATTTAAACCGTTTTGTTTAATTCAGATTCATATTTTTAAATGAACCTAGTGTAAAAATATGATCTATTTATTAAATCCGATCGAATTTGGATATTATTTGATTAATTTCGCTTTCTAATGTGATTATATATACATATATAAAGCATTATTTTTAATAATTATGATGGACTTTGGATTTAATAGACTTATTTTTTCATCTATGATATATATTTTTATTTCATATATAAATTTATAAATATAAACTAATTTTATATAGACTTATTGATATTTTATTTGAATTAGGTTTTGACGAGGGGTGATTTGGCCTTCCAATAATACCGTGCCACCTGGCAAGTCCAAACCGCTTTATGACACCTCAATGCTACATGTAAGCTGGAGTTTGCTCGATTAGGCCAGCCTCTATGAATTAGACCTCAATGGAGACTCATAGACCGCTCGACAATAGTTTGAAGTACACCTCGAAGGCATAAGCCGATGACTCCAACAACTGACTTGTCTCCCTCAACCTAGGCAAATAACGACCTATGTGGGTAGTCGACCTTTGGAGTATTGACCTACGAGACTCATAGACCACTCAACAATAGTCCGAAGTAGACTTGTTCATGGGTCGGGCCGGGCCGGACTTTTACTCTTCATTAATGAAAAAATGTTAGGCCCGAGCCCGAGCTCGGCCCGACCAACGGGCCTACAACTTGGGTCCGAGCCCAGCCCTGATAAAAAGCCCGAAGCCCGACCTAATAAAAGCCTGATCTGCGATTTTACATGTTTCTTGCTTGAATAGAGTAGATTGACTTGCTTTTCTGATAACTGATTAGTGTTGTTTCTCTGTCTTTCTCGTTTAACAAGTGGAAGAAGAAGAAGAGGAAGAAGACAAACATGCTTACCGTCGGATTTTTTGCTGCCACTGACTAAACATTGTAATAGAATAAAGTGGTAAAGAGAACTCACCGACCGCTGATGATTGTATTCGCCGGAGAGTTCACGGTGAGTTGGTGACTGTGGTCTGTGAGTTGCGAGCCTGACTTGCGATTTTGACAATGATCAGTTCGTGTCTGAGAGAGAGAGAGAGAGAGAGAGAGAGAGAGAGAGAGAGAGAGAGAGAGCTCACCACCGCCACCGGAGTTGTTGCGCCAATGAACGTTCGCCGCCTCGCCGGTTGTGGCTGCTTGAGAGTGTGAGGATGAGAATTGTGGAGTGTGGAGGATTTAGAGATTGGAGAAGAAGGATTCGGCTGGAAAAAAGAAGGGAAAGACACAAAGAAGTGAAAAAAAGAGGGGTACTTGAACTGACTAGGGTTTTTACTTAGGTTTAATTATAGGTCGGGCTATTTTGGCAAATCCTGAGCCCGACTCGAATTTATTGCAAACCGGGTCTTTTGGCCCGAGGTTAAGCCCGCTGATCCATATATCTGTTCAAGCCCGTCCGAGGGCCAGGTCACCCAGGCCATGAACAGGTCTAGTCCGAAGTATGCTACTTCGAAGATGTAAGTTGATAACTCCGGCAATTGCCCGTCTCCATCGACCTAGGCAACTGACAACCTGTGTGGTTAGTTGACCTTTGGAGTATCAACCTACGTGATGTGTCCAACGTCATCCACTAGCTTCTCCTATCAGTTACGAAGCACACAACGATACATCACCCACCTGGCAGTGTGAGCCTAGTTCCATTTGCTTTGTGAGGAACCGGATGAGGATCATCACAAAACCGGTATGACGTGACCCAAAGATAACAGGCCAATAAGATTCATCATTTTTGGATATCTCAAACATGCCACTCGGACCCCAATGCCTACATAAAGGGACTTTCATTCCTTCACAAGGTATGCGCAAAATAGTACATTCCAACTTTCTCTCTCTTTGTCTCTCTTTCAATACTCTCTCATACCAGCACAGCCCGGGTACTTTGGCTCTCTTTGCCTTGCAGATCCGTCTGCCGACCTCAGCACAATCAGAGCAGGATCGGGCATCATTAGGTTTCAATCAGATATATAAAAATGAAGATCGAGCATCATTAGGTTTCAATCAGATATGTAATGAATGGAATTCAAATCTATGTAAATTTGGATATCTCGCATGCTTATTTATATCAAATTTAGACATACCCCAATTTAAATTCGTTAAGATCCATTTGCATTATTCACTTACTTCTAACTTATTTCCAAATAGGAATTAGCTTCCAACCAGACCATCTTAATAACTTAAATACTTGTATTATCTTCGCTATAATGCTGATCTTCGCATTGGCTTCACATCCATATACGATCATGAACAAAAAAAAATTAAGAATAAAATATAAAAATCTCTCCTGAAGTTTCTGATAATCATAAAAACATTCTTTATAGTTTCATTTTAACAAATACCTTTCTTGAATTTTTCATAAATTCAACAAAAACTTTTCTTCTGTTATTGTTTTAGACGGAAAATGTTAGATTGATGCACCAGTTTTTTCCAAATACTCATTCTACCATTTTATGAATTATTTTACATATAAAATTACTGAAATAACTCCATTTTAACTCAACAAAAACCGCTTTTAATGATCATTTTAGTAATTTTACATACAAAATTACTGAAATATGTTTTTTTTAGTTAAAATGGGATTATTTCAGTACTTTTGTATGTAAAATAATTTATAAAATGGTAGAATAAACATTTGAAAAAAACTGGTGCATCAATCTAACGTTCTCCGTCTAGGACAGTGACAGAAGGGAGGTTTTTGTTGAGTTTCTCAAAAATTATGGGGAAGTTTTTATGATTGTCAGGAACTTCAGGGAAGGTTTTGTATTTTACGCAAAAATTAATACAGATTAAATCAAGGATTTTAAAACTGGACCGGATAGAGAACCGTTATGAATCTGGTTCTTGGGTTGAACAGTCTGATCGTCCGGTTTAAATAGATAGTCTGTTTTGACAAAAAATTAAAAACAAAAAACAAAAATAACTATTCTCCAGGACGACAGTTTGACAGTTCAATCACCCGGATCAGCAATTCGCTGACCAAATCAATGATTTTAGCCAAAAAATAATTTTAAGGTGAAACGGTGACAAGTTCCCAGATTTTTTGGTAAAACGTAAAATCATCGAGATGGATGATTTTAACGTTAAAACAGTGGGTTTGTTCAAGCGAAGATGATTGAGCTATATTTAATAATTTTTTTGCCTTTTTTTATCACTTGTATCCAAACTACCCTTAATAAGAAAATGAAAGTCATAAGAACTGCCTCTCATTTCATGTTATAAATTGTATTCAAAACAAACCAATAACCAAAGTTTTTCAAACTCATGACCTTTTTTTATTAATTTATTTAGGGCATTTACAGGTCACCGCACCCAAATTCTTGGTTGCTTGAATCATCCTTCCAATGTGTGTCCAGAGAAATATGAGGCCATTACAAATATTCTGGGTCAGGATTAGGCCTAATGGGTACATTTATAATGTCGGAAAGGTATGATAGTGGAAGATTTTTTATCAATCAAAAACTCTCCATGAATTTTGACGAGTACCACGGATGTCAAATTGTGATCCCAATTGATGGATTGGTTATAAGTTTTCTGGGCTTATAGTTCAGGTCTTTGGGCCTAGTTGTCCGGCCTATAATCCTTACCATGGGTGTTAAGTCCAACCCGTCCCAGCCCATGAGCACCTTTCTTGTAAATAAACATAATAATTTCGAGCTGTGGGGCAATCATCTTTCTCCACTAGCCGTAATTTAATTGGAGGTGACTAAATAAAGTAAACTGGCCTATTAGCTCAGTTGGTTAGAGCGTCGTGCTAATAACGCGAAGGTCGCAGGTTCGAGACCTGCATGGGCCAAAACCTTTTTCTATCAAAAAAGAAAAAAAAAACAAAGGACCACACTATTAAACACTTATTGGTGTTTGGGAAATAAGTTCGAAATAAGTGCTTATTGTAAAAATAAGGGTTTATTTTATAAGTCCAAATTTTCAGCTTTTTTTTAATTGTTCATACAACAAGCACTTATTCAATTTTTTTCTTCCAAAATTACTCCTAGTTGAATTTTATAAAAGTGTTTTCATAAAAGTATTTTTATGAAATCTATGAAAGTACTTATAAAAGTGCTTTCGTAAAAGTACTTTCATAAAAAA